GACGGCTCTCCTCTTTTCTTGGGGGTGTTTTTTGTGTTGGGTTTTTTTTTTTTTTTATTATTATTATTTATTAATTTATCACTTGGCATTACCAAATAAATGAATGGAGTCCCTCACGCTCTGGCTCTGCGTGATGGCGACACAGCTCCTAGTGGAGAGCTGTCCCCGCTCTCTGCCATTGCCCCCTTTCCTCGGCAGGCTGTGGGGCTGGAGGTGGCCCCCCATGCACAGGAGTTGGGGGGGCATGGGGCTCCTGCTATGGTCCCTGCTGTCCCCTCGACCTGTAGGGCCATCGCAGTCATTTTGGGAGAAGCCAAGGCCGGCCGTCGCTTGGAGAGGGCGAGCAGCAGCAGTTCAGATACGCTCCCGCCAGAGCAGCGCGCGCTCCCGCCTCTCCCCGGTTTATTGGGAAGGAGCCCGGTGGTGATTAGTGCCCCAGGGCCCTGCCTAAGCTGCCCCAAGCCAATTAGGGGCTGACGAGCCCCTTGTGGGTTTTGAAAGCTGATTAGGGCATTACAACCCCTCCGTTCCTATGAATCCCCTTAATCGAGTCCAGAAGCAATTAGTTCATCAATGCCACCCCCGGGCAGGGCCAGGTCAGGGGCATGGGGTGGATGCACATCAGGGTGCCCCACTCCTGGCTCCGGTCGGTGACCGACATCCACGCTACCTTCCGAAATGCCCGGCCAGCCCTGCTTCCATGCCAGCACCTCCCTGGAAGAGCCCCAAGTGCCGAAACGAGGACAATTTTGCAAGATGTGCTTGGCCTGTCCCAGCACAGTCACTTGGTTGACATGTGAGCCTGCCCGGAAGGAACACCCAAAACAGCTGCAGGGCTGCCCTGCCCCAGGAGGGGCTGGCTGCAGCGAAGATGGGGCCTGTGCACCCCTGCAGCCATACATCCATGTACCCATGCGCCCTTATACCCATGTACTCATGCACCCATGTACCCCTGCACCCTTGCACCTATCCATACTCATGCACCCGTGTACCCCTGCACCCTTGTACCTATCCATACTTATGCACCCAGGTACCCCTGCATCCCTGTACCTATCCATACTCATGCACCCAGGTACCCCTGCACCCTTGTACCTATCCATACTCATGCACCCAGGTACCCCTGCACCCCTGTACCTATCCATACTCATGCACCCAGGTACCCCTGCACCCTTGCACCTATCCATACTCATGCACCCATGTACCCCTGCACCCCTGTACCTATCCATACTCATGCACCCAGGTACCTCTGCTATCCATACTCATGCACCCAGGTACCCCTGGACTTCTGCACCCATTTACCTGTGCACCCATGTACCCATGCACCCCTGCACCCTTTGTACCCATGCACCCATGCACTTGTGCACCCATTTACCCATGCACCCCTGCACTTGTGCACCCATGTACTCATGCGCCCCTGCACCCCAGCACTCATCCCCCCTGCCTGCAGTTGCTGTGGGTGCAGCAGCAGCCACCATCCCACCCCACCCCGTCCCCTTGCCAGCGTGACCCATAGGCGACGACGCTATAATTACCCCGCTCTCCTCGTGCAGCTGCCAGTATTTACAGGTCTCCCTGTGGACGGGTGCTGGCATTTGGCACAACACCCTGTTTATCACCCCGCCAGCTGGGCCCTGTGCACCGGGGCTGTTTTCCCTGGCGGGTGCAGGTCCCGAGGGGGCGTATGCGGCCGCTTGCCCTGTTTCTGGGTCAGGTTTTGCAACCGAGCAGAGGGGCTGGCTAGGTCATGGCCATGGCCGTGCATGCCAGCATGGGGAGCAGCTCTTGCAGCCCTCCCTGCCCCTGCATCTGGGGGTACAGAAGAGCTCCCCAGCCCCCACCTGGGGAGGGAAGGGGGGACCCTGGTGCATGTGCCGGGCATGGGGGCTGCATCTCCCTGGTGCTGCCTCTCCTCTCCAAGCACAGCCTGCGGACCCAGTGGCAAGGCACGTGTTTGCACCCCAGCAGTGGCTGTGTTTTGGGGGTGCAAAGGGCGATGTTCCTTATAATCCCCACTGCTGCTGGCCCTGGATCTGCCCCATTCCCAGCACCATCGCAATGTCTGAATGACCACGGGGCTGTTTTTTGCCCCTCCATGCCCCCACCCCTATGCCGTTGGGGGGCTCAACCCCAGGATCCGGCCACGCTGCCCCCTGGGGTGTGTGGCCATTTGGCCCAGGGGCGAAGCCTGGCCCTGTTTACCCCCCAGCTCTGGTTTCGGCGTGCCGGCAGCCACGACACGGGTGGGCAGGGCCTCCTGGACAGCCTGTCCCCAGCTTGTTTACCGCCGCCGGCGGCATCCCGATGGCTCAGTCCCGTGTGACAGGTGCTGCTTCCCCGGACACCCGACCCCGTGTCGGGATTTGGCTCCTCGTGACCAGGGAGCGACTTATAAATAGCGGGACGAGGGGAGCTGCCGGCAGCCGAGAGCGGGTGAGAGGAGCGCACCGTTGTGCCGATGGATTTCCAAGCCGGCATCCTACAGGATGGCAGCCCCATGGAGAGCCTGGAGAAGCAGCTCATCTGCCCCATCTGCCTGGAGATGTTCAGCAAGCCGGTGGTGATCCTGCCCTGCCAGCACAACCTCTGCCGCAAGTGTGCCAACGACGTCTTCCAGGTGAGAGAGGGTCCCTGAGCCCATTCCCTGCCCCGGTCCGTGCTGGAGGTCACCGGGATGCTTGTGGTGCTGTGGGGGTGTTCATGGACCCCTCAATGTACATCTCTCCCTCCCAGGCTGCCAACCCATACTGGCAGAGTCGGGGCAGCGTGATTTCGGGGGGCCGGTTCCGGTGCCCGTCATGTCGCCATGAGGTGCTGCTGGACCGTCACGGCGTCTACGGGTTGCAGAGGAACCTGCTGGTGGAGAACATCATCGACATCTACAAGCAGGAGTGCTCCAGGTAGGCATGGGTGGCTGTGGCTGATTGCTTCTGCCTTGCCCCTGTGGGGACAGAGGGACATGGGGACACGGGGGCATGGGGATGCCTGCCTCCCAAACCCCAGCACCATCGTTGAGACCGCAGGAGACTGGCAGCTGGGTGAGAAATTGGGGGGGCTTTTCTGCTGTCTCAGTGGTCCCCGATCCAAATCTTCCTCCCCTGACCCAAATCGCTGCCCTGTCCAGAGCAGTTTGGGTCTCTGGGTGGCTCAGGGGGACAGTGGGTCCTTGGGGGGGTGGTGGCAGCTTGACAAGTCCTACCCCCCCACAATCTGCAACTGGAGCATTCGGTGGGAGATAAGAGGTGTGGGGGACAAATCCAGGCTCCGCTCGTGACAGCAGGCACTGCTGGCTGATAAGGGGCAGAGGGACAGTTTGGGGGGGGCCCGCTCTGGAAAAGCGTGCAGTGAGTGGGGTACGGAGGGGTCGCAGCTTCTCGAGGCAGAGTGGTGGCCCTGGCCAAATTCTCCAAACCACTGTAAATATTGATCGAGAGCCATGGGGACTGGGACGGTGGCACGTGGCAGCGTTCCCCGTGTTCCCCCTTGCTGCAGAGGGGATGATTCAGCTGCAGCCCCCGGCTGGGACCCCCTGGGGGTTTCTGGGTGCCCCCACCCCAGTCACGCCTTGGGTGACAACAATAAATCCTGGCAGCCCAAGGCTAAAATTAGGTGCTTGTGTAGTGTCCTTGGAGTGCGGCCCTGGACCCCCCGCCCGCTGGTGCCGACTGCTGCTGTGCCCAGTGCTGCATTGGTTTAAACTGGGGCTTACTGGGGACTCGGGGCTTATGAGGGACAGAGGTTCGTGGCTCCCAAAGGAGCAAGAGTGGGGTTATGCCAAGATCTGGCCTCTTGCCTGGGGACCTGATTGTGGGGTGGCTGTGCAGCATTGGTGAGGATGTCACCGCGGTGGGGATGATGTTGCAATGGGGACATCATCGTGGCAGGGGATGTCACCCTGATGGGGATGTCACCGCAGCCGTGCCGCTCTCTCCAGCAGGCCACTGAAGAAGGGGGAGCACCCCATGTGCAAGGAGCACGAGGATGAGCGGATCAACATCTACTGCGTCACCTGTGAGGTCCCGACCTGCTCCATGTGCAAAGTCTTTGGTGCCCACAAGGACTGCGAGGTTGCCCCCCTGCAAACTGTCTTCCAGGGCCAGAAGGTACTGTGCAGGGCAACGGGGGGGGGAGGGGGGGGCTGCGGGGGACATGGCTGGTCCCAGGGCAATGTGCTGAGCTGGGACGGCCACAAATAGCACTGGGACCCGCTCATGGGGTATTAATAGCCCCTGGGTGACTTCGCCCAGGAGACAGCCTATATTTAGAGTGGCCACAGCTCATGGGGAGATGTGGGGGGAGCGGAGCTGGAGCCAGGCAATGCCCAGCCCATCTCCATGTCAGGACGGGAAATGTCCCCGTCCCTGTCCCTGCTGGGGTTCAAGCTGTTTCTGTCCATCTGTCCCTGCCCAGACTGAGCTGAACAACTGCATCTCCATGCTGGTGGCGGGGAACGACCGGATCCAGACGATCATCTCCCAGCTGGAGGACTCGTGCCGGAGCACCGAGGTGAGGAAGGGGGGCAAAGGAGCCCTCCAAAATCCAGGGGTGAAACCTCAGCCAAAGAATATTTGGGATGGCCGGGAGGGAGCTGGAGCCCACAGAGCAGGGAAGCCCCAGGATGCTGCTGGTGCCGAGGGACACACACGTGACATCCCTTGCCCCTTGTCCCTGCAGGAGAACAGCGAGGCGGCCAAGCGGGAGCTGTGTGCTCGCTTCGACGCCTTGGCAGCACTGCTGGAGGAGAAGAAGTTGGAGCTGCTGCAGCGCATCACCCAGGAGCAGGGTGACAAGACGGGCTTCGTCCAGGGCCTCATCCACCAGTACAAGGAGCAGCTGGAGAAATCAAGCCGGCTGGTGGAGACGGCCATCCAGGCCATGGAGGAGACTGGGGGGGCCACCTTCCTCATGGTAAGACCCCCACACCCCTCCCCTGCTGGTGTCTGCATGGGGTCCCACCGGCTTGGGGACATTCTGGTGCTGCCACACGGCTCCACTGACTTCTCCTCTTGCTCCCCACAGAATGCCAAGCAGCTCATTAAAACGTAAGTGCCCAAATTGGGGAAAATTTGCCCATCCCTAATCCCTGTCCCACAGCTGGGAGGGATTCAGCCACAGGGTGCCCAGGTGGTGAGCGTGGGGCTGCCCCGACCCCCCCACTCCTGCACCCTGCGGTCCCCCAGCCTGGCGAGGGGACAGGAAGGGACCAGGCTGTGCTCTCCCTGCTCAGGATCGTGGAGGCCTCCAAGGGTGGCAAGCTGGAGAAGATCGAGCACGGCTACGAGAGCATGGATGCCTTCTCAGTGAGCCTGGACCACCTCGCTGAGGCGGTCTGCGCCTTGGACTTCATCCCTGGTAATTCAGCTCCTGACCCCCTCATGCCCCTTTACCAACTGCCACCAATCTGGTGGCACCCACTATGTTTTCCGGTGGCCCCGCTGTGACGTTTGCTGCCTGCTTGCAGCTGAGGAAGATGAGGAGTACTTTGATGGGGAGGAAGAAGAGGTGGAGGAGGACACGGCGCCCGAGAGGGCAGTGACGGGTAAGAGAGGTGGCACGGCCAAGCCCACCTCCCCAGGGACCCTCAAGCACCCATGGGGGAGCTTCAGGGACTTGGACCCCCCTTGACCCCCCCCCCTCCTCTTCCCCTGGCCGCTCCCCAGTACC